TCTGTTCCACTGGATTGACAATGGAAGCTAAGGATAAAATTGAGGACCTTCTCTTCAGCGAGGATGGATTGCTTAGCTGTAATATTGATGATACCCTGGACATGGTTCAAAAGCTTTGAAAAGCTTTCAACAGTAAGCAAATAGGGGCTGCAGCAACCCTCCTTGCTCTGTCTCCTCAGCCACCATTCTTTGTCCCATTCACATCTCAACCAAATGACACCAGTCTTTCATATCAAAAGAGCACACTGTTCTATGTGCAGAAATTCTCACCAAATGTTGACAATGCCTACATGCTCAGCAACCAGAGCCACAGCCTCAAGACTCCACCAAGCTGCTTTGACTTGATGCTCCCCATACCGGCTATTTCAAAGTACATGGACTTCCATAACTAATGACTTTTGGGTCCTATTGATCATTTCACAGATACCACATAATAAATCCCACAATAAACTATTCTGTCTCTTCTAAGAACTCCAGAGGATGCTGGAGATGTGTTAAGCCTTTCATTAAATGTGTCATTATTGGATTAGGGGAAAAAAGAGAAGCTCCTTCTACTGAAGAAAAAAAAAAGTTGCAAAGTACATCTTTATGGAAGAGAGATGCCAAGCCATGCTGTTTCACCTTGTTGAAGTAGAGAACAGGGTCCTTATGAAGATCTCTTTACCCAAATGGTTCCTTTTTTCCACAGTAGATCTCAACCTTCAATTTGAATCAAGACATTATATTGCCTATTTTTCTCAGCCCCTCAACATCATCAGAAACATCACTTTATTCCTTGGATATCCATCATGCTCTGTGACTTCTTACCTGAACCCTGTGGCACCATTTCATTGAAACCAACATTTATTCTAGTCCTTCCAAAGCACATCTAAAGGGCAGTCTTTACTTCCAGCTTTTCTGCAAATGGATATTGACAACCATTAAATTTTGATATGAATTGGTCGAACAGCCATCCTGTCTTCCAATCTATTCTCACTGCACAAGAGGAACAATGGCATCAGCAGTCTTCATCTAATGTATTCCCTTGGTGTGCCCCTACCAGAGTTGTGCTGGGCAGCCATATGGACTCATCCAGCACTATAGATTGAGCCTTCACTCCCAGAAAAGTGCAACCTTGAGTCTTCTTTTTGGTCACCTTATGAGGGCCAGACTACTTATAGCTAAGACGTTTGCTCTTCACCCATGTGTGTCAACTGGTTAATTCTCTGACTACAGCTGCTTAAGTGGTCACCTGTGAATTCACACTATCTATCTTCCAATCCCATTTGATCTCAGGTGATCTCACTGCACTTTCAATACCAATATGTCAGCCTTGGCAATGGAAAGGATTTGGCAAGTTATGACCAATCATAGGAGAGGGACTCCCACCAGGAAAATCTTTAAGTTCTGGAAGATTTCAAATAGTCATATAACCTATGTGTGAATTCAGTTGACTACTCAGAAAACCACATTTACAGGTAAACAACCTGTTCATCTGGTCTGTTGCAGTGATACTCAAATGTGTTACCTCTCATAGGACTTGTGCCCAATATCACCACACCCTAGCCAGGTAAATAACTGGGTAAGTGTACCTACCGCTAGTCTAAATTCTTCTGCCATGATTCTCCAGCTTAACATGCTGATACGGGTTTGCTTCAACAAAGCAAAGACAACATTTACCTGTAGGATATCTCATCACTCAGCTAGACATTTAGATCTTGTTCAACAAAAATCGAAATCAACTAAGTATCCCAATGATGAATGTTGGAGGTAAAAGTCCAGAATCAGAAGGCTTAGTGCAATGTCTTTCCTTTGAAAAAGGGGGAAAAATACATTTAATTTCTTGAACTGGAAGATGCAATGAAAAGCTTGGAAATACACCAGGAACGTTGGCTAAAACCTCAGGCCGAGCAAAGCTTCAATACCTTGCACAGCATTTTGGATGTCCCCTTACTTCTCTTACTCATCTAGTTTCTCATTTCCCACCATGAAGTAGAGCCCAAGCAACAGGGCAGGGCCTGAGTTTATTCCAGTTATGCAATTAGAGAAGCATTTGACATGGAGTATCCTTCCCAGTGAACATCAGCCACATACAGGATGTTAACTATGCAAATTGAGTTTGCACAACATTCAAGGCTTATGGTTGTGTGTCATGGAGACACCCTCAAATTTAAAGCTTTCACATAAAGTCCCCAAACAATTTCCTGAGAAGTCCCAGCCCACAGTTCTGAATCCACACAATGCCTATCTTCTCCTGGTTCCAATTGCATTCTACTCTCATTTCCCCAAATTGTCAAGCTTACTTGAAGGCAGCATCACAACTAGCCTGTTCTTCCTCCAGAAGCCGAAGAGCTAGGCTTACTATTCTGTGCCACACATTCTAGAATTAACCTCCTCCATGTTCTGCTCCTTTGTGGTTGCTGTGGATACAGAGACTCTAGGTAGCTGCACCAAGCCAAGCTGGGTCATAAGTAAGAAGAGCGTCCCCCGTGCTCTGTGGGACGCAGCATGGAAGAACACCGGCCAGGACTACCATCGTGGGGGATCCATACAGCCGGGTTCTCAGTTGCAACAGGTAAGTAAAGCCTACTTACCTAAAACTGATCTTAAGTGCAAGAACTGTTGAGAACCAGGAACGGCTCATGCTTTTGGTAATTACAGGCCTGCCCACCCTCAACCTCACCCCCATCCCAGCAACCCAGGTAGGAGAGGCTGTATATCTCGACTGTGGATGTACATAGTATCACATTTTTTATCTGCTTTGACATCCAGGAGGAACTTCTTGTAGAGATCAGAACAGTCAGGCAGCAAGGGGCAGATATTCATGAAGGTCAGCACAATAATCTCCAGTAGCCACAGGTCAAAAACAGGCTGACTGGAACAGATTGAGACAGTGCAAACCCTATGACCAAAATGAGACAGTCAAGGCAGACATGGATAGGCAGCCAAGCCCCAGAGATTGCAAAATGGGTGCACAAAGCATTGGATTTAGTGATGCACCAGGCTTTGAGGGGGTCAGTTCCAAAAGGGTTCAGGAGCAGGATCCAAAGTGGACCTATATAGGAGAGTACTGGGGGCATGTAAGGCTTAAGGCACCTATTTTGTTCAGACACTCCAATTCTCCCCCAAAACAAAAAATCTGGGCCTCTGCCACTTGGGGGGCTGCAGGTAGAGCACACCTAACCCAGAGGCAGCACATTTTGCACCTTTCTCCTCTGTACACTCAAACTAGGAAGTCAACAATGGCCATCCTTCCTTGACTACAGGCCCTCTGCTCAATGCCCACCCACACCGCCCAAGAATCATCATTGTCTCAGCCTATGAGAAGTGTTCCCATCTATTCTTATACCATCTTCCATAGGCAGTAAAAGCTAGATGGCATCTTGGTAGAACAATGTGCAAATGGGGTTCTGGGGACTGAAGGAAAAAGAAGGAAAAAAAATCTGCTTCAGCACACACTGCCATTAACTTCTGTGGCAGAGCAACAGCACTAGATAGAAAGAGGACGTGCCTCCCGAGTTGTTCTGAAGCTGCTCTTGCCTCTGTCTGCAGTGTTCATGGGGCTAGGTAGCTATACCTTAACTGAGTCTATCTTATTTGATTCTATCAGCCTAACATATTGATCCTTGCTCATTTCTCCATGCCACTCCATTTGCATCATCTGTTTTTAAGTTCACTGAGGATTTGATTATGTGACCATTTATAATTTCCAATCCTGAAAACAGAACTTGAAACTACCTTAGTGCAGGAATACAGTATACCCTTTGGGATCAACAGAGAAATTTGTACTGTGCTGTGATCATTAGGAGTGAACCCATCCTGGATTCAGAATGAGATTATTATTAGCATCTCTTTCATTCTGCAACCCCAAAACTAGCCTCACTCCCACAAATCAAACTAGGAGAGCCCCATTATTTTTTCCAATAATATTTATTTACACCGCTTCCCTCATCGTCCCCCTCCCCCAGCACTGCCTCCATTGCCCCCTCCTTGCCCCCCTGCGTCAGGGGCTCCAGACATCATAAGGAAAAGCACGATAGGAATAATGTACATCCACTGTAGGAGAGAAAGAAATATATACAGGTTATAAAAAGAAAGTATGGCTTCCTTGTGTGCAAAAATCCATTTCATTCTTTTTCTTTTGGGAAGTGATCATGGCTTCTCACAAACCCCAATCTTCCCCCATCAACTGCACTTTTCTAGGGACTACTTTGATACCAGTTTCTATTTTGTGCTATCATCTTTCTTCCCTCCCTGCACCCTGTTGCTGCCCCTCCTTCAAATCCCAATCACAAGAAACCCTTCACCAGTGATTACAGCTGAGCTTGTCAGTGGCAGCCAATGGAGAAGAAAGGGCTGTGTCCACTATGAAGGAGAAAGGACCTGCCACCAAAAAGGGGAGTCTCAATTCTACCATAGCAGGAAATAAAGATCCAGAGAGTAGCAAACTGAAAACTAAGACGCATGCCCCCAAAGGCACCCTGCTTTCTTTGAGTGCTCTCAGCCAATTAGCAGCAGAGGAGAGGTCGACTCCTAGCTATCACAGAACAAGTAATCACTAAAGTAACTTCAAAAAAGCCAGCTATTGAAGAGCATGGGGTTTTGGGGGGGTGGGGGGGAGTGGGGGGGCTGTTCCCAGAATGCATTGCATGGAAGAGTAAAAAATGATATGCTACCCCTCTGGACCAAACAGCACAGAGGTAGCACCTGAGTGAGGATGCAGCCACCTTAAACACACACTCCCCTCCCCAGTATCAAGATGGGCTCTAGCCTTCTTGTCCTCCAAGGGGGCACAGGGAGGTGCTGAAAGAGCTCAAGCTAAACGGAGCCAAGCAAAAGAAGATGGAAGTGAGACGAGCCAGGTGCAGGATTACTTTTGCTCAGGGCTGTCGTCCGGGCTCCTGAGGGGTTGTTGCAGAGCTGGTCACTAGGAGAAGCACTGCCCCGCCCAGAATTAAATGCCACTGCAGGGATTGGGGAGAAGAGGTATCAGAGCAGGGAGCAGTCACTTCCTAGCAACAGTTGCCTGGCTAGATCCAGAAACGAGACAGCAGGCAGGCTGAGGAACTTAGATCATTTTGTTACCAGGGTGGGAAAAAGAATGGAGCCTGCTCTCTCTACTATCCCTCCCCCATTCCTGCCCCACCCCCAAACACACCACTTACATATTTGGCAAAGAAGGACTTCTGCTCCTGTGGATTTTTGGCTTTCTGAGCCTGCTCTTGTTCCAAACGTTCAATAAATGCTGCTGTCTCAGGGCTGGCAGCAGGAAAAAAGAAAGCCATTAGTAACAAAATTGGAAAGCATCTCTCAGTATTCACAAAGCTCAGAGGGCTGCAAAAGCCAAGACTGGTATTAAAAATAAATGGAATGTTAGGGGCCCAGTGCATTTCAATAGTGTTCCCCGCATGAAAAAGCGTAATGTCACACTCCAAGTGAAGTTCTGCTGTTTCTTTCATACGAACAAGTCAATGCAATGATATTTTGTTTCTGATGTAAGATATATTGAAATGCACTGGACCCATCTTAATAAAATTTCCTGTTTTAGAATATGTTTGAAGCTTTGTCTCCTCCTCATCCCCAAACTGGAGATTTGATTCTGCCCTCTCTTTTCCCTGCTCTCAAAATTTCCACCCACTCCTCAAAAAAGGCAGACTGTCAAATATCTCCTCTGTTTAAGGCTGATGTTCAATACAATCCTAAACTTGTATACAAATAAACAGGCTTAACTGACTTCAAAGAAACCTAGTACTTCCAATTTAAGCATGTTTTAAAATCACAGCCAAGTCTCTGGATTCGCTCCTTCTCTGCCAATAATCATAAATAATAATAAATAATAAGTCACCCAGAACCCTTTCTCCCAATCTGCCCAAATCTGAAACCCCTGTCTTTTAGCCAAGCTCCTTTACCAAAACTTAGAAGACTGGTTACTTTCTCTGTGTCCTGAGGAATCCTGTTCTTAACTCACAAACCTCCTCTGTTTCCAGAAAATCTTCCATAATCTAACTCTGAATTCCTTACACAAGGAACCCAGATTATCTGACCTTCTAATTAGAAGCCATTTCCTCCATATTTCAAATTCTCAAGCATATTTCAGCTCTGACGTCAAATGCAGGAAACTAAGTCAAGCTTCCTATGTCCCCAATGAGCAATCATGCCCCTTTGGGAAACCCATCAGATCATATTTTGTCCCAAGCAAATGCTATTTAGTGGCATATCTCCCCTCAAAAATCCCTGGTGATTCCATTCATGATTAAAAGCCACAATACACTTATGTTTTATACATTTGCCCAATCTCTCTTTAAACTAGCTGCCACCAATACATCTTGCAGCAGTGAGTTCCACAGATCAGCATTCCCATCTGATCAGTCAAAAATACTCACACAGCAGCTGGTATGGGCTGCTGGAGGAGAACAGTTGTGTTGAACAGTTCCAGATCCACATCTTCCACTTCAGCTCCATGGCAAGAGCTAGGCACAGTGACAACAGAGAGGCCAATTATGTTGCCAGCAATGTCTGTGTGCACTGTCAGTCTATCTGACAGATGAGATTCCACCACCGAGCACTGCAAGGAGAGGAAGACACATCAACGCTATCTCTCTGTCTATCTTAGCATTTTCAACTTGGTGCACATATGTTGGTGCACATGCTAGTGCATAAGCTTGGTCCTGTGAGGTAGCAAGGAAGTTGTTGGGGTAGTGAAATGAATGGGACCACAAGCTGTGCAGGAGTGAACCTATCTTGAACTTGGCCTTCCTACCGTCTACCTCAGTTTGTAAAGATTGCAAAATCTTTTCCCAACTTGGTGCTGACTACATATAGTATATCCAAATACTGTACTCATTATTCACATCTGAAGCATGCTAGGTTAAGGGAAGTTGCTGCAGCTGATGAAGTTTTGTTCAGAAAATCTTTCTGTATCCAAATGATGCTAAAGCTGAATATTAGAATAATAAAAATACAGGGCACAATACAGGTAGAACTCAGAACTGTCTATTGATTCCAATGAAAGAAAATCTGCAGGTCATGGAAAGCCTGTGGTTTAGAAACAGCACACTTGAAATGACATCTCCAGAGAAAAGAATCTCAGACAGCAGCTCCTCAGGAAAAGAGTTTAATCTCAGAGTCCTCTCTCAGATCCTGGAGTGCTGCTCCCTATCATGAGGCACCAATATTGGACCAGATGGAGAGACATTTCAGAAGAAGAATGTGAGCTCTGTTATTTTTATATGTATATCTTCATATTCCTTTAAGCAAAGCTGGTAATCTCTCAGACCTCATTTTTGCAAACCTGCCTAGACTGCACTGCCAAAATGTTGCTGTCATTTATTTTTTTTCACATTTGTGGCCAAAAGGTACTTCTAAGGCTTTCTAAAATACCAATTTGGGCAACATAAACCCCACAATTCTCACATTAAATGGTCAAACATTTAACTCTGGCCATTCTTGTGATGTCACTGCACTACCAGCTATCTCTCCAGTGGCCCTCAAAAAGCTGGCATTTCTTTCTGAAAAAGTGCAGCCCCAGACTGCAAAAAGATTGACTTTGATCTAGGTGCACAAGACAGAATAACATGAGGGAGACTCCCATGTGCACTAATAACCATGTGAGACTGAGAGATAGTGACTGGCTCAGAATCACCCTGGGAATCTGGATCTCCCCAGCCCCAATCCACTAATCTGCATAATACTGGTTCCCCATCAGTCAGCATCTAGTTGATCTTAGTTGGCAACTAATCAAGGTCATGTTTGGTTAGCACTTAGAAGGGAAATCTCCAGGGACTGGGAAGAAAAGAAATCCCAGAAGGCAATGGAATACTGGATGGTTTGTAAGAAAACTGCACGGTTTTGTCCATGTATCCCTAGAAATTAAGCTAAAGTCAAGGGAGTCTTTACCCTATTATCTCTTCCCTCAATAATCTCAGGACAGCCTCCAGAGGATTAGGAAGATTGCTTGAATAATACAGGACATGACACTGGAGACAGAAAAAAAAACATTGAAAAATCTCAACTCCATGAACCCAAGACCACATTTCTTCACTTTCTCCCTTAACAAACCACGGGAGAAAAAGTGGAGAAAGAAAACACTTTCCCCATTCCTACCTTCAGCAGCTTTAGAGATTTTACAACTGGATATTTGGGCATTTTACTAAAGAGACAAGATGGGCCCACAAGAGTGTGCAGGAGTCAAATTCTTTAGCTGCCCTCAGGCTAGTGATGCACAAAGTATCTCACAATAAGAGTTCCAACCCCCAAACAGGTTGTTCTGACATGTTGCAAAGGTGCCTTGAAGATAATATGAGTTCAGAACACTTAGAACAGCATGCTTAGGGGTTGGTACATTCTATGATGGAGCATTTTATACACCTCTGCTCTAGGCCAGTGTCCTGTGGAGTAGAGGAATCCCAGAGTAGCAAGGACACTTACCGCTCTGACAAAAGTGGTGACATATTCAACAGCACTCTCTTCAATGCTCCCCAGAGGCTGTCGTGGGATTCTTAGGCGATACAGCCCACCCTCGGTAGCTACCTCCTGGGTTTGTGGAAAAAGAGAGAAAGGATACATCAGTAGAAAGGAGAAACTCACTCCCTCACCCTACCCGAAAGAGCTGAAAATTACACTCTAATGATCTCAAAATACATTGGCTTTTTTTTGCATTGTTTATTTTTGCTTCCATTCTTTAGAGAATCAAATAATTTGGATTTTAAAAACTCCACAGGTTGCTAAAATTCTGTGGTTCAAAGACTAATTACCATAGAAAACAACATCCAAGCATTCATGGCATCCTGAATGAGATACATGGCACTCCAAAATTAAGTCTAATTTTTTAAAAAAAGGGTGATGCCTTGCAAAATCACTCACCTAAGATCCCTGAAATCTCAAAAGATTTCTGGGATTTAATTTTTTGAAAATTATTTTTTACACCTAGCATCTACAAAGTATGTTGACTCCTATGCTTACATCAGGTTTACTTAGCAAACAGTTTTTTCCCTAACTGCCCAAGGGCCCCTAAAGCCCCATGCAGGGAAGCAATTAAACACAGGATTCCTACATCCTGCCCCAAGTATATCAAATAAACTTGTTTCTTCCTTTCAGAAGGAAGCTACTCCCCTTCCAAAGTGCCCTGTTCTCCAGTTTGTTTCTCTCTACAAAAGCAAAGCAAGGATGCTCCCCCTTTGCTTCCCTACTCACCCTAAGTTTGTTGCGCTCCTCCTCAGTTAATTGCTTCTGGCTCAGTGAGAGACTGGGTTCAGGGCCCACGTTCCACAGGAGAGTACCCCGCTTTTTGAAATGGATGCTGTCATCTTCAGGAGAAAGAAATACATGTGAGTCCTAGAGTCTACTCTTACTCCTGTTAGATAAATGACCACCTTTAACCACTTACAACATACAGGAGCCTGAGTGTGTCTCTAAAGGCCTTACCCATTCTTTAAGTTGCTGCAAAAAGCATGAGTACAATAAGAACAGAGGTGAGCACCCCATGGGCCCTACCCAGCTCCAAAGCTTTTTTGCCACCTATCAGAAATCACACACCAAGTTAAGCTTCAACATGAAGTTGCACATGAATGAGTGTACAGACATTTGATTTAAGGGATTTAACACACCAATTTTGCTCTTTAAAGCCATTCTTAAGCAGAAAAGCCCCAGGCCTATTTTCCAAGTTTCACAGGATTTTAGGATACCCATTTTGCATCCTAATTCTTCCCAATGCAGGCTGAAAATGGCAATCCTCACTCCAGGAATAATTTGAAGGTAGCAAAACAGGCATAAGAGAGGAGCTACATACTACTCAAGAACTATCCACTTGTTTTCAAGTGGAGAATATTTTCAGTGGAGAATTCTATTGTTCCAAGGTTCCCAACTGAACAGTGTTTAAATTTCTCTCTCTCTCTCTCTCTCCCTCTGCATGCACTAAAGCCCCATGGGAAGTGGAAACTAACATGCGTAGATTGTGAAATGGGCCTAGCTACTGCTGCTCTATCTGGGCAAATTGTCCAATTCAAGCTTGCCCATCCTCACTATATACACTTACCCAACTCAAATGAATGCTCCAGCTGAAGACTCAATCCACAAGCTTCAGAGTCTCGGGCTTCACCAGGCTGAAAGCAACAGAAGTAGATCATGGATGTTCTAATGTTCTTATAGTTTCTGTTTCAAGCTTCATAGTGCCACAAATTTTGACCTATGTATGCCAATGTTACATGCCCACATAATAGCAAAGTTTTCCTGCCTAAAATTTTAAACAATATTTTGAGTGTTTTTGGTCAATGCATGGGCACCATCTGCAAACCGCCCCCCCCCCAAGATATGATGCATTCCAGACTATATTTATTATGGCACAAGCTTTCATAACTAGAACCCATATAATTAACTGAGGCAATTTAGACCAGGCACAGGCAAAATAACAAATGACTCAAATTCACCCTGTATTCGTCTGACTGAATTTTCACATACAATATCCTCCAAAGTTTTGGGGAGTTCCTTTCTGTTGTTCAGACCTGTGAGACTGCTGCTAGAAGACCAAGGAAACAATACGTTTGTAGAAGGAACCATAACTTTTTCAAGCACATAAAAAAATTTCCAGTTCAACTGCTGAGTTAGCTGACAAATTGTCCAGTTTGAAACTCTGAAGAGCTGTTTCAGATCAGTAAATGTAAATCTCAGCTAGATATTATGTGCCATCAAGTTCTTTTTGACTCCTGGCAACCACATAGGTAGATTTTCTCCCTGATGATCTATCCCTAACCTGGTCTTTCAGGTCTTCCAGCGCTGAGCTAGATATACCAGTGATGATTTAGTATAAGGCAGCTATCCATCAACTTCTGAATGTCAGTGAAGCATAATGATTAAAATGTTGGAGAAGGATTGCAGGGACTCGGATTTCAGTCCATCCATAGTTATGAAAACTCACTGGTGACTTTGGGCTAGTCACTCTCTCTCGGCTCAATCTGTCCTCACAGGGTGGTTGTTGTAGGGATAAAATGAAGGGAGATCCCCACATAATCCATCTTGAGCTCCTGGACAAAAAGTCACTATACATCCAATAAATAAATGCTTCCAACACTTTATGCCAAGAGGGCATTTAGGCCCCAGCCTTTTCCATTACCTCCCACACAGTTGCTAAGGCTGCTTCCCTCCCCAAATCAGAATCCAGTATTCTTGAAGCAACCCGATTTACTTTGTCTTGAAGTTATTACTCAGCTTATAAATATTAATGGCAGAGGTATCATGAAGCCAGCTTCTCACTTCTCATTAATAGGAAGCTCCCAGCCACAAAGAACATTGTGTGAAGAACATATATACATTTTTCTCCTCCCCTCATAACACCAGGCCCCAATCCATTCAACCAAGTTGCACGGCAGGAGATTCAAGACTGACATCACTCAGTCCATAGTTAATCTGAGGGACTCGCTGCCACAAGAGGCAGCGCGAGTCACCAGCTGAAATGGTGCAGCCAAATCTATGGAGGAAAAAGCTATCCGCCACCAGTAAAATTATGGCTAAATGGGGCATCCAGGCTCAGAAGCAGCACGGCTATGAATATTTCTTGCTATTCCTTAGGCATCTATGAAAACAAAGCTCTCCACCAGTTTGGCGTTTGGTCCAGTCCAGCCCAGCTTATGTCCTGGATATTAAGGAACGGGTCTTCCGATAACCAAAGTCAGCTCGGCGCTCACCCATATTAATCGTGGGACTTACCCTGACAGCTGTCTCTCCCCGGCAGGCTGCAGCGGCCCGAACGAGAAGTTGCGGCGGGGGCGGCAGAAGGAGGGCGAGGAGAGGCAGGAGACGGAGGCAGAGCGGTCGCTCGGCAGCCGCCATAGCACCCTCCGCTGATCACGTGATTAAAAAACAGGCAGAGCAGCCGCAAGGCACTATGGGACCGGCGTAGCACGTTCGAGAGCCAAGGGAAAGCCAATCACCGCCGTCTTGCGGCTTAGCGCTTCCCTAAACTTCTCAGCCTCAGCTCGCGCAGCACGTGGCGGGTGGTGGCTCTCGCGGCTGCAAAGCGCTGAGGAGCTGTGAGCGCTGGTGACCTGGGGAGTCGAACCGAGGCGGGCGGCGGGCAAGGAGAGTCCTGCCGGCCAAGAAATTGCATGGTGTGGGCACGATCCCACGCACGGCACCCTTGTCGGAAAGTCGGTCCCGTCGAGCTCAGTGAGACGTGATTCCGAGTGAACTTGTCTGCGCCTCGTCCTCTAATCTCTTGCAGAACGGTCGAGCTTTGCCTCCTCTGTTTTTGCCGCGATAAAAGGGTGAAATAGCAACCCACAGTTTTTCTAGACCCAGCTCAGAGGAAGGGAAGGTATCTCGGACTAGTATGATCTATCATCTTGAACATAATGGATGCTACAGCTGTTGCAAGAGGAAGTAGATATAATGCACGCACCCAAGTAGAGGATCGGTTGTGTCAGAGATGGGGACGAGGTGAACTACCTCGGCTTTTCTGTCTTCACTTTGTTTTCTCTGAGATTCTCTAGCCATGCTAAGGATCTGCTGCTGTGGTCCCCTTCTTAAGAAGCAGTAACCATCAAAATAAGTACTGTGCTGTTTGCAGTCCTGTGTGTTTGCAGGGAAGAGTATCTGTCCCACTTTTCTTCCAACGAGCTGGAAGCAGCAGTTCTTCGATTTACTGTATCATCACAACTCTGAGTTTGGTTATGCTGTGATATGGAGACTGGCTGAGGGTCTCAGCTTTAGTTCAGCAAGAATAAAGTCTTGACCTAATATAAGAAATGTCAGGTTGTGACGACTTATGATTCTGCTTTTCCAAGACTTTTGCCATTCACACTGCCAATGATATATGCTTTTTCCTTTCTCTTTTTGCAAGAAGAGAATTCATGAAAAATCAAGACTAGTAGGTCTTGCAGCATTTCAGTTTTTTGTTTTACTGTCATTTCTGCTCAAATATGGCTGAAAGAGTTGCTTAATTTTGTTCCTTAAGTCTAATCCAAATTTTCTTTCCCTAGAATATGAAATTAATTAAGCTTAATTGAGAGGGTCCCAAGTATTCCATTTTTCCCCTAGGCTCTGCTTTCAAGTTACTGTTTGCTGTTTTTTATATTGACAAAACTGCATTGCAACCTGAACAAAGGTGGTGCTGAATTTAAGAGGCTAGCCAAAGTTACCCTGTTATGGTCTAGATCAGGTTGGGCTGTGGCTGAATTCAAACAATATGCTAAGTTAAAACCAAATAAATCATAGTTTAAGTTACAATGTATGAGCCTAATCTGTTTGTCCATCTAGGCTTTAGATGAGCAACCTGTTGCCCTCAGCCTAATTTAAAAATCATTGTGTAAGAGATCAGTTCAGATCTCTGCTAAGCGATATCTGTCTTCCACAGACTATTACTTAGTGAGAGGAAAAAGTGAAGAAATGGGAAGTATTTGGGAGGTAATTGGTAACCCCACTCACTGCTTGCTTCAGCCCCCTCACCATCTGCCCTCCAACAGATTATCCATGAGGAAATGTGGCATTAATAGAAACCGGTTGCCTGTTGCAACTGAGTCCAGTCTTTTTGAGATTGGCTGGCAATTGTCCTCTCCAGAAACTCAACAGTCACCTGCTGTCAGATTAACTTTTACACTGGAGATGATGAGGATTGCACTGAGGAATTTCTAGATGCAAGCATGTGCTCTCTCATCCTTCTCTCAGGATCAGCCCTTCTTTTAGGGGAAGTGAGATGGCTATCTCAGGTGGTAAATATTGGGGGAAGCAGGGACCAGTACTGAGGTGCTAGCAAACCAACCAGTACATTTTAGGGGGCCTGCTTTATTAGCCTCAGGTGGAATGAAAGACACAGCCCAGTTGCCAATACTGAAGTAAATTTCATTTGCTAGCCCTATCTGTTTCTGTGCATGGCAAGAATAACCATCTTGTTTTTCGCTTCAAGCAGCAAAATAGTTTAGGCCAGTCCCAGCTATCTTAGCTGCTCTCCTTTCATTTGTCTGGAATAGAAATTTGCAACCCTTTTAGATTTCTCCCTTGATGCTCTGCTTCATGTTCTGCCTACAGGTTCTAGGCCACAGTAGCCTGGACCCCTTCTTTGTCCACCGGATGTCCATGTTTTGGAATGGGAGACCTGCGGAAGTGCCTAGCCAGTGGGGAATATGGCATGCTGAAAGATTGTCCTCTATTTGAAAGCAATTTTATGCAGGTGAAGCAGAGTGGAAAATAAATTAGAAAAATCTCCTGTATTTACTTGCCCAAACCTGAACCCTAAGGCTCTCCTCTGATGCTCTTGCAAAATGAATCAAGGCAAGCACAATCTTTTTTGTGGTGGTATCCTAGAGATTGTTTACTTGGTGCCCATCACTTACCCTTTTCAGCACCATGTGACCAACTTTTCTTTTTCCCAGGCATGTTACAAATGTGTGTCTGTGCAATGTTATTTAATTTTTATAAGTATTTTATTTTGCTTTCTATACTGTCCAGAAAACTACTGTTTGAGAAACTTAAAAATGGAATAAATAATTACAACCCAGTCACCCTAGCCTCCTAGCAGTCCTGCATTAGCTGAAGATCCACAGAAAAGCAGCAAGTTCTAACAGATAGGGTTGCCATTCAGTCATCTTCTTTGAGTCAGATGAGGTTCAGCAAAAGAATCAAGTTGTTAGGCTTATATCTCCACGTAGGTAAAACAGTGTTTTTGATGGGGAAAATGTATCTAATCTATTTGGGGGGGTGGGGAAGGTATCCCATTTGCTGTACATAATTAGCCTGTGATATCTTTGAAAATATGTTCCAACTGTGGAAGAATCAGTGGGAAGGTGCTTTTTCTAGGATGGTACCTATTTTCCTTTATTACATTTTTTTAAAAAGCAGAGGCACCTCATTCAGTTGTTCTGCTTCATGTATGTAAATATCTTCACCGCTACGCTATGCTGGCAGTTCTCCATTTTGTCTGGTTGCATTTGCAAGTTAGAAGTCTTGACTACAGAGATTATCCTAATCTAATTTTTCCTGCAGTTAATTAAATTTGAGCCTAACACATCTGGGGGGAAACATGTCAGAGAAAGCTATCCTTTTCTTACTCAGCTTCCAGAAAAAACAGGAATCCTTACACCCAGCTTCTACTGAATAATCCTTTTTCCAGCTAAAGAAACAAATCAAATGCCCTAAATAAAACTTGGATCTGATATAACATGTAGAGTTATGTTTTACAAGCAAAGCCATTTTTATGTATGCTGTTACAGAGTTGCTATTGTATGGATATGTTCCTCTCTACACCATCTAGGTCTCCTTGTGAAAAGGTGGGATATTAATATAACTGATTTATGTACTTGGTCCTGTAGAATGAATGCTGAACCTGATCCAAGGTTAAATCTGACAAAGTTTATACCAGTTTCAGCAAACTTTGCTGATCAAACAAGCATATCCTTTGCATTGGAAAAGCAAGGCTGCCATTGATTTTTAGAACCAAAGTGATCTTTCAGAACCTACCACCAATTTGCAAGTGGTCAGTGAAGAAAAATTATGTCCGAGAATCGCTATACTATAAAGGACACGTCTTGGCAACAATACAGAAGTAGTTTGCCATTGCCTTGGATGACTATGTCATAAATCCTCAGTAGATGAACTGAGTCCATTCCCAAAATGGCCATTGCTTCATTTCAGGTTGAAAAACCTCCAGCCCTCCAGATATTGCTCAACTATAACTTGCAACATCTGTAATCACAGCCAATGAAAAGGAACACTGAGAATTATAGTTCTACAGCATCTGGAAGACTACATCTCTACCCTGACTTAATCTTTATTTAGTAACCTTTAAAAACTTGGGAAATATGCAGTGACTTGGATAAAGAGAACCCTTTTTTCTTACCTCTATTTTGTACAGAATTCTGGCCTCTGGTTAACTGAACTTATTGTTGTTTATGTACCCCAGTTGGGTTTCTACAGAACCACAGACTACTCAACTATATTTTGACTGGCTGTTTTAGCTTAATAGTCATGATGTGAAGGCCACTTCAAAGTTTTCTCCTGTAATAGTCAGTTACTATGAAAGTGCAAAGAAGCCCTCAAAGTGAACGTTTCCCTTCCAGGTTACCAAGACAGGGGATATTGCCAACAAAGTCACGGTGGGCATCGCTGCCAGCAGCCCAAGCCTTGAGATGCCTGATCTCATGCTGCTGGCACGGCCAGCACCTTCCCTAACAGGACAGTGTGAGTGCCAGTGTCCTGAAGCACTGCCTTTCCCAGATGAGGAGCTGCAGCTGTTTGGGTGAGTGTCTGTCACCACACTCCAGGGATGTACCCCCAAAGCCTTGTGTGTGGTCCACCTTGAAAAATGCAATCAGATGGTAAATTTTAGTGTGATAGAAGGGGGAGAACTATTAAACACACGGGGAGCCCTTATATTGACCCAGCTGAGTTTTTAAACAATAGTTACTGTATATTGAATGATGTTTAAGTTTTGTCCTGGTCATGCTCCACTTCCTTGTGCTGTCTCCGTGCACCATTTTGGAGTACAGCCCCAAGCACATCACTTAGAGGCTGAATAGAAACTTCAATCCAAAAAAGATTGTGCACCTCTGGCTTTAAGCAGGAGTGTTGGCAGGGGGTGGGGGTTTCAAAAAGGCCAAGATGGCAGCTCTGACTGTGCCACTGCAGTCACCATCTTGATCTTTTTAACCCTCCCAATGGACAGCCCTGGCTTTAAGATTCTCTCTCCAGTTTCTCCCCATTCACGTACATCTTCCATCTCCTCCTTCCCCAGGCTTCTGCCCTTGAAGTTCGTCCGTCTCTACGTCCACGATGAGTCGCGATTCCAGCTCAAAGTCCGCCTGGCCAATGGCCGTACCTTTTATCTGCAGCTTCTGACGCATCCCCTCAAGCAGGATCATGTCTTTGGGCAGTGGGTACGGCTGCTGTACCGCCTGCGCTTTTACCACGCTGATGCCCCCATTACTTATGAACAGGAGACTGCAGCATATCGCCAGAAAAAAACTTTTTCTTAGGTGAGCTTCAGCCCCCTTCTCCGCCCCCAGTCCCAGTATAGGATCCCTGCTCATTCCTCATTGTTGCCCAAATCTCTGTGAAGGGGCCTTTTTCTTGGGATTTGATAGGGTGCAGATACTACTTCTCAGAACTGGAGGAACAGCAAAAGCCTTAGTGGAGAAGCAGTGAGAAGGCCCAGGTATTCTGGGAACACTAGTTGGTGAAGCAGGTTCTGAAACTAGTAGGCAACTGGGTTAAGCTAGAAAGGTGCTAAGGACATCTGGGGTCATTTTGACATTTCAGATGGCTTCTTTCTTGGGTCAGCCTCCTCTGTGCCTGCTGGTGCCTCTCTGTCTCTCTTTCTTGCAGCAGGAGGAAGAGAGCACATTCTCCTGGTGAGGAAGACGACGCTCAGGGGAACCAAGGATATCTTTATCTATCCCCCCAAAACAATACAAAGTAAGGTTTTCTTCCCAGCGCAGGCTCGCCAGTGTTGGATACCGTTCCTCCCCGTGTGAAGCTACTGCAAACTTCCCTACCCAAAGAGGAGACACTCTCCCCCACCACTTCCCCATCAATAAATGAATGAACAAAACTGCTTTCCACACAGCTGATAATTGTAAGTCATCTGCTTAGATCAGCCATCCGCTAAATTCATGCCTGGAAGATCTCTTTCTCCACTGTCTTCCATCCACATTAGATGCTGCTCCCCTTTACAAGAGGGAGAGGGGTCCAGATTAGCCAATCAAGTTCACTTTATTGACACAAGAACTGACTGAACAAACACACAGACAGATTGGGAGAAGATTAGCTGGATTGTGGTACTTCTGATCCAAATATGATATGTGTGGCTTCTTTAATTGGGGGGTGGTGGGAGAAGAGATGCTGTTCTTGATGCCCAGCATCTGCCCAAGGCAGGAAGGGACACTGGAGCAAAAATGAGGCGACTGCATGCTGCAGAAAAAGCAGAGCAAGAATCAGTATTTGGAGAAATTGGGGGTAAGTAGACAAGCAGATCATTTGACCCAATCATACTCTCTACCCTCAAGGCTCCCTTCCATGCCCCACATTCATAAGGTTCTTCCCTCCCAAGAAAAAATGACAGAACTCTTCTGCAGGAATCCAACTAGAAACCTGCAGATCATCTGGAGTCACCAACCGTTGTGCTAAAATAACAGTAGTGGATGCAGGCTTTATTTCATCTCAACAGTGGCAGGATGATACTAGAAGATGCCACAAACCTGGGGGTGGGGAATGGACTGGCATTAGAGGCAGGCCTGTCATCCAGTTTCCTTGGTTCACCAGGTCTTAATCTAGTTTTTAGGATTCACATAGCACACTTGAGTGGGACAGGCTGAATTTGCACAAGTTTGTGGTGTAATGACTTATGCAAGCACCACCTTTTTAAAAAAGATGTAGTCCTAATCACCAGGTTATTTTCCAACACACCCAAGTTGCCGTTCTTTCTGGACGAAAAGAAATGCAGTATTTTCTTCTAGATCCCAGTAACAACTTATTGCCTGTCCAGATACATTGGAAAATATGTAACATGTTACTCACCATTTCCCTGATTTGACAGTTGTGGCAACAAGGTTACTGGGGTGCTATTGGGGAAGGAGGGGGGTAAAAAGGAAAAACAGAAATGAGTGAGATTGTGAGTGTGCCTTATGTTAGTTTCATGAAAAGGTGAGCAAAGCTGCTTTCTCTTTTCCACTCACCTGAACAACCAATTCCCATCTTGTGAAGACCATTTTTCCCTGCCTCTGCTGCTGGCTGTGTACCCATCTCTCACTGATTGCAACTACAAATTAATGCTGATGAGTTGCAAATGCCTAGAATCTCAAGTTCCTCATTGTCCTTGGAAAGTAAAGTCTCCCTCAAATTGAACTTGGCTCATGAGTGACATCCAAGACATGTCCATAGAATCACAGAGTTGGAAGACCCCAATTAGACCATCAAATCCAACCTTCAGAAATCCAAATTAAAGCATCCTGGGCTGATAGCTATTTAGCCTCCACTTGAATGCATCCAGTGAAGGGGTACCCACTAGTTCTCCAGGAGATCAGCTTCACTGTCCAACTGCTCCCCTCTTAAGCTTCTAGTGTTCAATCAGAACATTACAGGCTTCCTGTAATTTAAAGTTGTAGCTTTCTTGGCAACAGCGTAGAAGTGGTTTGCTAGTGACAACCTCTGGGTTTTTTTTCAACTTCCCCGTGTAGCCTAGAGCCCTGGAAGGTCTCCTATCCAAGTACTACTAAGATCTGACCCTGCCAAGCTTCTGAGCACAGGCAGAATAAGTCAGCTGCTGCCATCTGCTGTTTTTTTCTTCCTTTCTCACTTCAGCAGCAGATGAAACTTGTGCTCCAGTAAGCTCATCTTGTGTTTGGAGGCATTTCAATTTATTTTCAATTCAATTTATGGATTGAATCGCAGGGACTGTCTGTATGCCACATCTCTTAGATACCCTCAAATACTATACAGTTTAACCCGCATGGAACTATTACTTGATTCATTACTATACAACACTCAGGATCTGTTGGGGTTAAAAAAAACACACTCTGATCTGGCACATGGAGGACCGAAGGCTTTTTAGGCTTCTCGGTGCATTTGCTAATAGTTTCAAAAATCAATCCTTTTTTGCAGCCACCCATTAGCAGCCTTTTAGAAGGAATGTTTTGTAAACTGCCAGACAAATGTACACAAATACATGGGAACAAATGCATAGACAAGCAAGGAGAGCAGGCTGAAAAGTTAGCTGCTTCTGTTTTTTATGGAAGGAGCGGGGAGGATTGTTTAATTCATCAGCATTGAAAGCTGTAGGAGGAAGGTATACTCAGTGACTGACCAGTTTGAAACTGAGGAAGTAAGTGCTAGTTTGCTGGCCTTTCTGTGCTCAGCTACTAGTTAGTTTTGGGGAAGCAATGATTAGTTGAAGGTGCTCTCTGCAAGTTTTAGATTTGCGAGTATGCAGATAACATGCTAAATGTGCTTGCTGTCTGCCAATGGAGAGGAGAGCATGGAGGGGAAAGTGCAAGCACTGGAGATAACTGGCAATGGAGAAGGCTAGTGATGTGGCAGACAGCTTAAATACGAATGCCCTTGTGTTTCTGCAGGCTCAAGCCAACACTGAGCTGCAGAATACACCCACCTTTGTGGCTGTGATTTAAAACTGTGACGTAGATGTAAAATAATTGAAAGTGGATTTACATGGGCACAAGGTATGATGTAGATGGTGCTGTTTTCCGTCAAAAATCCATTTTGCCCAATTCTTTTTACAACAGATCCTGCAGCCTTTGCCACTTTGGTGGGCTGCCAAATGCAACTGGTTTCAACGTTTTATTTTTGGGATAGAAAAATGCCTGCTGCTTATATAAGCGTGGAAATGCAAGACTTTTAATCAGCACTGTGAGAGGGGAAGGCATTGTGAAATTGACTCAGTTCAATTTGATGAGATTCCACGGTGAAATTGACTAAAGAAGGGACAAAGCACTAGGGAGGTAGGGGTACCCCTGATTTCTGCTTTCCTCAGTGGATTGGTAAGCCAAAAAGGATTTATCTTTCTCCTTTTTTATTCTAACTGCATCAAATATGCAGGAATAAAAGAACCATTGGTCCAACCTTTGCAAGTTTGCATGCTGAAAACAGGACTAAAACCAAGAAGCATGGCAGTAAATAGAATCTACAATTGGTGTACTACTGATTGCAAAAAATATCTCCTTGTTCTCCCACAGTTATGAAGTATCCCCAATAACCAGGTGCCCATACCAGGAAGTATTGCATTCTACTATACTCATGTATCTCCTGAGCAAAATGTGCTTTTAAAGAATGTCCACCGTGCCTCACAAAAGGAAGGGGCTGTAATGTAGATCCTGCCCAAGTTGTTGACTTCTTGTCCCTATCTGTGGTGCACTGTCTTCCCAGAGGATTCTTCTAAACAACATGAGAAAGAGCCCAAGGGAGAATGAGAGGGGAAAGATTCGTCCTCATTTTAAGACTCAAGCCTGAACTGGGGTAATTCCTTCTCCTGTGAACATGTCTGAAGTTTTACTAGTGAATTATTAATCAGCTTCTGTTCTGTGCTTAGGAGCAACAGCTGGCTATAATGTATTTCCCTGCATTATTTATTTCCTTTCTTTTTTGGTTAAAGAGCTATTTCACTCTTTAAAAGAAAAAGTGGAAGTAAACCTGTAATTAACACACACACAAGCAGAGAAGCTGATTCAAAAGACTATCCATGACTAATGCTCATAAGCCTTGAATGGGAAGCAAAAGAGGCAGAAGCAGTAATCAAGAAGGTTTTAATTAATGATCCAGTCTGTAAAAGATGTAATAATGCTTCGCTTGTTCATGCTGGACAAGGCTGGTGTTGGTGCCGCAAATGTTTTTTTTTTTTGTAAAAAATATTCATTAAAAAGACAGGTATGAAGAAACACCGGGCAACAATTTACAAAATTGTATTTAATACTTGTATTTTATATTTGTATTATTTGTGTTTTTATTGATTTTAAATTGTTTTGTTGTGAACTGCCCAGAGTCCCTCCTTGTGGGGGAGTCAGGTTTTATTGATTTTAAATTGTTTTGTTGTGAACTGCCCAGAGTCCCTCCTTGTGGGGGAGTCAGGTTTTATTGATTTTAAATTGTTTTGTTGTGAACTGCCCAGAGTCCCTCCTTGTGGGGGAGTCAGGCAGTGATATAAATTTGACGTCTAAATAAATAAAAATAAATAAATAAAATCCAGGAATGTGATAATAAGAGTGACATTCTCAATAACAAGTGCAAAGGAAGGCAATTCTAGAGAATGGTTAATAATGGGAGCCCTCAGTGTGAACCAAGATGGGAAAAAGTTAGAGGCTTAGTAGCAGCTGCTGTTTTGCATTTTTGATAAGTGTCATCAATACATTTCAACCCATGTCTTTTTCACCCCCAAATCACCTTTGACTTCCAGCCTGCACTCCACTATGGCCTCGCCCAATTCATTGATGGCCTTGCAGGAGTAGACAGCACTGTCAAAAGAACTTGGTTTACGGATATTGAGAGTCAACACTCCTTGGTTGTTTTTCTGCAGAAATTTGGGATCCCCACTGAGGTCCATTTTGTTCTTCATCCAGATTACCTTGGGCTGGGAATGCACATAAGTGGGATAAAATAGAAAAGCATCCAGATCAAATATCTTGACCACCACACTCTATTCTAATCCAGGACCATACATTGTATTACCAAACTTTAGAATTCGAGAACAAGCTATTTCAATTAAAAGGTTGTGCAAAAACCAGGTAAAAGGTTTTGATAAGTTATTTGTGCATTCCAGCAAAATTCTCAAAGCTGCATTCTAGCTGTCCCTCCAGTACTCCAAATGCAGAACCATTCATATTACAATTTAACTAGGAGACATTGCATCCCATTGAAAGAAGAAAGAATGTATATAGAATTTTAAGGAATTTATTGCCACAATTAGACGGCTTTAAAATCAGATTGGACAAACTCACAAAGACAAGTCTACAGATACCCATTAAATATAACCACTATGTTCAGAGGTAGTATATTGCATTTACAAAGAATGAATTTCCTGAAGCCATCGTGTGTAGCCTTCCTGGGAGCACTTGGCTGGTCAGTGTGAGAAGAATACTTAAGAGTATAGGCCTTTGATCTAATCCAGCAGGGCTCCTGTTATATATTTATGACTAAATTATCACAAAAACTCTTTCTACATCCAGCTGTTCCTCCCTACCTCTCTTTATCCTTCTTTCTTTCCTTTTCTCCATTAATTCTTTACCCTTTTTCTCAGGCATCTACAGCCAACTTGCCAAGTGTAAACATAAGATGGGAATTACACATTAGCTCAGCAAATATACATTCATGGCAAGCAGGAGGGACGGAAACTTAATATTTTACATTCTGTGGGTTCTCCCTTGCAAAATGGCCTGAATTTTTTTCCCCCTCATTTAGTTGGAGTCTAGCTGAGAAAAAAATTGGTTGCCAATACCCAAGGAAGAGATTTGCTGGGGAGAATTAGCAAGCATGGAAAGGATTCAAGAATCCCCATCCACCAACTCTCCCCAGATATGCTTCTCACTTTTCTTTCCCATATTAATGAATGATCCCTCTAAAATGGCCAGTCATATCAGTTGTGCAGTGGTCAAGTGATGGATTTTGAAGCCTCAGGAGCATCACTCTCACAGTGCCAAAACAGTTGGGCTGAGTCACTGTATGTGTGTGTGTGTGTGTATACACCCCCCCCAAAGCTGCTGTACATAATATAACCCAATCAGACTCAGTAACAATACATAGCATAATACTAATTATTAAAATCAACCAATGGTCATAGAGCAATGACCAGCAAAAGCTGATGTGTTAGCAGATTGGCTGTAGAGACTATTTCCCTTATAAATCTATTTATTTGCCAAATGTAGCAGCTGTGTCGCATATGTTGGCAGCCATTTAAGGGATATTTACAAAACACAGGAAAACAAATAAAAATGAATGTATATATGGGTTATTTTGTTTAATTAAACATACATTGCATTAAAAAAGAGTATCCCAATATCTTGCTTAATATTGGTTTCAGTGTCCATTGCTTATATATTAGAACAGCTCTTGCTTTCAATACTGATGATAAAGTCTTGAATCAGATGTAAGGTTACTTTCTCATTATTTATAATTCAATATCATCTTTAAAATTGTCCAATAAAGTAGAAACCATGCATTTAAAAACACCACCCCCAATTCTCCCATTATCTTTCCACCCATCTGCTCTTTCCTATTCTCTTGCATCACTCAGTTGACTCATACAGTTTCTCCCGACAACCAGATACCTCCTACTTATTTGGTACTTACTTTAGGATGTCCCCTCACCGCACAATTCAGGGCAGTGGTATATCCAGCCACTACTGTCCGGTCTACCAGTGGAGTCAAGAACATGGGGGCCATGCTGAAGTCATGTTCCTTATAGCTGTACTTTTTAGTGATCATTCCTAGAAGGATAAAGAGCCAAGATGATCATCAGTGGAACTAGGGATGGGCAAAACAAGCTGCAATCTTATACTCAAATTTCCTTTATCTGCCACTCAATTCAGTGGCATTGACTTGACTAGATGCACATAGGGATGAGCTGCTGGACATTCCTGGATCACTTTGGCTCATTTTGTTCTTTCACATAAATCTGATGCAGCCTATTTTAGCAATGACCTGTGGTTTTAAGAAAAATCGATGTGAACATTCATGTAAGCAACATCTTTAAATACATGTTAGTAAATGAATTTCCTCCTCAGGATGAATTTCTTTGCCAAGTGTGCGTTTTAATTTTCTTATGTTTCTCCTGAGCCAAGAATATTAACACGTTCTGCAACCGTCCAAGCTAGTAGAAAGAAAAATTATTATCTGCTCTGTAGGTCCAAGTTCTCAAGCATCCTCAAAAAGATCCCAGAGAGCCCTGAATTTCCAAATAAACTCTCCTTTGAGATATTATTTAGGTTCTCCCTTTCTTACACAAGCCTTCCATTTTCTCAAACTTGGTACCCTACTCCTGTGTCCTCATGCTCTTATCACTATTTGACAGCTGAGCCCATTAATAACTGATCCAACCATGGTGTAGGAAGATTCTAGCAGTGATGCTGGAATTTGCAGGCAGGTGGTTCTCTGCTGACAGGAACTTTCAGCTTGTCCCAGATCCTTGGCTCTCTCCCACCCCCTTGAGGATAAAGCATTGTGGGTGTCACTTCTTTTCAATAAGCTGCTTAAACTAAGCGAAGGGCAACTTTGCAGCTCCCTTTCACAGTGGCTAATCTGTGCTCTCTTTTTAAATCACCACAAAACAAACACAGGACGAGCTAAGGGCAGGAGGTGGGCTGCTGGCTAAATGCCGTTTTTCCATGCCCCTGTTTGTCAACTGGAGGAACCCCTGGTCAGAGACTGTACGCCGCCCAGAGTAACTTGTTTGTGAGATGGGCAGCTATATAAATTTGACAAATAAATCCATAAATGAGAATTGGTTTCTGAGAGTCTGGGGTGCAAAAATAATGGTTGTGTGGAAGTTAACTCAGTGACTCAGTTTATGAAAGAGAGCATACAGCTGCTCTTCCTGAGTTTGGGATAAACCCCAACCCCCTCTGCTTAATTTCTTTGGCCCTACTACCTTCTCACACTGAAGCAATGAGCATGAAACTGAGCAAACTCAGGGAGGCAGCGAAGGACAGGAAGGCCTGGCGTGATATGGTTCATGGGGTCACAAAGAGTCGGACACAACTTAACAACTGAACAACAACACTACCTTCTCAATCCATTTGGCTACATGCAAGCTTACCAGTTTTCTGAATGTTTGCAGTGTTTTTGGAGACCCCAGGAGTCTCACTGAGCCCACAGATATTCTCACTGTAGACCCGGAAGTAGTATTCATTGCCCATGATGAGATCAGACACTGTGCAACGGGTAAGGCGGTTGTGTTCATATACAGTGAACCATTCCTGAGGGTAAGATCAGGGACAGACAGAAAAAGGTAGGGAATAAGATAAGGTTGTGGCTAAACTTAGGAAATGTCTTATTGTTCACTGCATTTAGATACATTAAAGTATTATGATATGAAGTAAAATGCCAATTTTACACAGATTTCATACACTTGCTGCTGGTGACCTAAACCCAACTGGCAGATCTAGGTATGATGCCCAGAAAGGATGACAATACTGATATCCAGAGTCTTCAACAGCAGAAAGGACAGGATGGCCCTCAAATCCAGCAGCATTGATGAACCACATTTTGAATGAGACAATAAACTTTAGCATTTAAATGGAGGGCATAATTGCTTTCCAAGTACTCAAGTATGCACAGGACCACAAACTAATGGCATGCTGGATTAGACCAACAAAGGCTGCAATATGCAACAACAACAAGTATGTGTAAGGATCATGGAGAGGGAAAGAGGCAGGTCTCAGAAAGCTTGTAATCCACAGAATCCGAAGCTTGTCTTGATCTGACCCAACAGGCCCAATTTTTGCCCTCAAAGCAAAGTTGGCAGAATGACAAGTGTGGTTGCTGCTTCCTTGTTCATAAAAGGAAGATTGCAAGAGTGAATCTCTTTTTCCATCCATAGATTATCCCAGCAGAGAAAGTTATGGTATCATATGCCACTACTCAGACACCTTCCTAGGACCCATAAGATGGTGCCTAAAATAAATAAATGGAATGAGTTGACACCATGTCTGAAAAGGACACTCTTTCTCAAGATATCATTCTGGGCAGAAAGCAGCAATTACTCTAAATCCCAGAAGCATGTATTTTAGACCTTTTGATGCTGCTCTCACAGCAGGCTTGGAATCACTGCCTAATCTTCTAGCTGTAACTGAATTGGATTTTGACAGCGAATTATCCTGGCAAAGTGTGAACTCCTGCAGTGGTAGTAGATACTTACTTTCTCTGATAATCTCAGCAGTAAACCTGCTGCTGTCCAAGTAAGTTTAAATGAATTTTAACTGAGGATGTGCTAAGAGTCTATCTCTGTTTTACAAACATAGATGCCACTCTTTTATAATATGTTCAGGGTACTTAACAAAATAATATCATCATCAATACTATGTGTGTGTGTGTGTGAGTGAGTGAGTGATCTGGTCACCACTACTGGATAGGTCCTGTCTTCTATCCATTCACCTAATTTTAGATGGTAGGCATGCTTACAGGAGACCTTCCACTGAAGGTCTTAACGTATGAGTAGAAACATATGGACCCTGGTTTTAAGCAACAAAAAGTCTTTAAAAATCAAAAGTTGCACTTTGATCTGGGCATGGAAACAGACTGGTAGTCAATGCAGTTGACCTAGCATAGACACATTATGATTGGAACACCCAAATCCATTCCAATTACTTCTTGCAACCAACTGACTGATTGATCATGTGCCATCAAGTCGTTTTCAACTCCTAGCGACCACATAGTTACACCTTCTCAGTAAAGGCCAGAAAAAGTCCAGCATGTTGATAAGTTAGCCAGGAATCTGTAAAGGAAAAGGAGTCAACTTTACCATGGTCTTCTTGTCAGCTTTTTGGATGGAGTAGCCAGTGATCTCTGAGTTCCCATCATCCTTGGGAGGCTCCCATTCTACTAAGGCATTGAAGCCCCATACCTCCTTCACCAGAACATTGTGTGCTGGACCTGGCTTCTCTGCAGAGGAAATGGTAGGCAAAGAGACACATTATTATAGAAATAGCAAAAGCCCAAACATAAGGTTGTGTAGTACACTTAAATTCGCTAAGTGAAGAGAATAGGAATGAAAGAATTGAACGGATGGAGGCAGCAAAGGGAATCTCTTATTTTTCAAAAACATGTTTAAAAGAATATATGGTACAGATAATTTTTAAAAGTCTTGTAGTATTTTACATTTTTAATTGTGTGTTAGACTATATTAGCCATATTATATTTTAGATTTGTTGGTTATTTGAGGTTTGTTGGCTATTCATCCATACGTATTGCTTATACAGGAGGATCTCTGTATATCAGTTGTAGATGAAGCCATCCCCTCCTATCTGTCTGTCTGTTTTCCTTCTTTTTCTGCCCCCTCCCCCCTTCTTCTTCACCAAGTGGCTGCCAGGAAGGTCTGAAGTGATTGCTTGCAGGGCTTCAAAATTAGGCTGAGAGAGGCCACTCCTGCTCTGTAATGCCTGCACTGTCTGCTAGGCTGTGCCAGCTAACAGTTTAAGAAGTTAAAATAATATTCAAACTAGATGCAGAAAAATGCTATTTCTTCCTGGTGTACAAAGGCATGGGAAAGAGGCAGCCTGTTCCAGCTGGCAGGGATGGAGAGCCACCACCAGGACAGCACCATCTCACATCTGCTCCTTGTCCAAAGACGCACACCAAGAAATCTGTTGGGAGGCGCTAAATTTCACTTCAAACCTTCTGCAAGGCAAAGAGGGATTTAGATGGTGGGTGTGAGGGGTGGGTGAAGGAGGGAGTTTTTTGGACTGTACTGGGAGGGGTGACATCTGGCTTAACCCATCAAGAATGCTTAAATATAGAGTGACGGAATATGATCTCACCCTCTTGCATGGGGGAAGGGAAGGAGCTGGTAAGGGAAGGTGACAGACGGAGGGAAGTATTCAGCAAAGGAGAGAACATCCAGAGGGTAGTAAGTAGGTGCCCTGAAGAGATGTGATATGCCTCCAAATGAGACGAAGAAAACCCGGAAGGTCAAAGGGAGGTGGACCACTCTGCACCTCTTACTTGTTCCCACATGCTTACTGAGTAAGGTTGTGTAATGTTTTCTGTCTCTTGCAGGCCTGGGAGCAGCAAGCATCTGGGTTTCCCACAGAGGCGAGGAAACTAATGGAGTGGGCATGGATTAAGTCTTATTAGCAGTTTAGCAGCTGCAGTGAGAAGAAAGGAAAAGGGAGGGAAGGGGAAGAGAGGCTTCTTCCTTCCTTGGTTGCCAAATCCTTCCTGACTCTCCAGTCCTTTGGCTGGTAGAACCCTGCAACAGGCTCTAAATGAATGTTCCCAACAGCGGTTCTCTTTGCACTACAGTTATCCAACCCTCTATGAACTGTGTGTCCAAGAGCAACCACAGCAATAGGAAGGACCATGTAACCCCTTGCAGAGTCTCCACTTTGCACACAGATGGTCTCAGCTTCCATCCTTGGCATTTCCTGTTAAAAGATTAAGTAGCAGGTAATGGGAAAGACATCTATCTGCCTGAGATCTTGGAGAGCTCCTGTCGGTCAGAATGGACAACCCTAGGCCAAAATAGAAGGCAGGTTCATATGTCCCACGTCTGCACAAATCCTCCCCATGCTTCAGAGAGAAATATATATGTTAGAAAGTAGAGAGATAATTTTACCTGCAAGGGGGCAGGTGGTTTCTGTGAGACTGGATCAAAGTTCAGATTACAAGATAGCCAGAAGAAAGTTGGAACTCTAAGTTTAGCTTCTTTCTAGCTAATGTCTTTAAAAAGCTATTAGAGGAGCTTACACTGGCTAGTGCTGCTTGTGGATTTTATTAAGGCAGTCTATTTATCATCTTCCCCACAATTCATCCAGCTCACCAGCATCCTTTTTTTTTTTTTTGGGTCCCCAGAATTTGTTAAGTCAAAAATATTGGCCATTTTTTCCCCATTGCTGTAGGCCCTTGAAGGGAATTCAAGAGCAATAGAGATCTAAGGCAGATGCTTAAGGCACCTGCTTCACCCCTTAATATTCCTGGGACCCCTCCCCAAATGAGCCCTGGCAACTCCCTTTCAGAAAGCTGCTCCCAGTATGCTATGCACAGCTGGGTGTGGACCTCAAGCCGGGGGAAGTTGCATACATCTGTTGTTCTCATAGCACTCAATGCAATGCAGGTATTAATTATATAGTGAGAGAACAGAGACAGGAGTGGTTTAGACAGTGATAGGAAGGCTACATAGAGAGGTATTAAGTATGTGAAGAATAATACTGGATTTTGGAGGGGGCTGGATGTGAGAAATGATTAGCATTAGAGAAATTAAAGACAAAACTTTGCACAAAAGCTTTTGGGGAAACAGCAGCTTGTTGTATACTTCTACTGAAACTATGACTGACATTAACCCTTACATGTATTTGAGATGAATCTCTATTTCTGCAGAAGGGAACATCTCACTAATTCTAAACCAAACATTAAACTTCCTTCCTTCCTTCCTTCCTTCCTTCCTTCCTTCCTTCCTTCCTTCCTTCCTTC